TCGCTTCTTTGGTCTCCCGAAGGTGCATAAAGAGGGCGCAGCCCTCCGGCCAATCGTATCTCTCAAAGGAACTCAAACCTACGGATTGACAAAGTGGCTGTTCCGGTGGCCCAAATACTTGACCGCTGATTCAGACACAACAGTCAGGTCGTCAACACAATTCTTGGAGAAACTCAAAGAGGTAAGCCTCCAACCAAACGATATCATGGTTTCCTTTGATGTCACGTCCCTTTTTACTTCTATTCCAAGGACCTGGCTGTCCTGGCTATTCAACTACTCCTAAGTGAGAAGGACGATGAAACGGAGAATTGCCTCGGACAGGTCCAAATCCTCCAGCTCCTAAATTTCGGCCTCAAGAAGAAATTTACCTTCAACGGAACTATCTACGATCAGGTGAAGGGTACGCCAATGGGTTCGTCCATTTCCAGACTCATAGCAGAGGTGGTCCTGCAACGGTTGGAGTCGCGGGTTTTCCAACACAACAGGCCGAAATTTTGGGCTCGGTATGTGGACGACACCCTCGTCGTGATTGAGTCGGATCAGGTGCTGACATTAAAGGAACGTCCGAACGCCGTCTTCTCGGAAATTCCATTTACGATGGAGGAAAAAGAGACCAACCAGCTGGCCTTCCTGAATGTCCTCGTTTGCCGCAAAGACGGTTGTGGCCTAAAAACTAAAGTGTTCAGCAAAGCAACCAACACTATGCAAGTCCTGAACTATAACAGCAACCACCCAATCGGTGGCAAACGCAGCTGCGTAAGAGCGCTTTACCAGCCCGGTGAGACGCATTGCAGCAATGTGGAAGATAAAGTTGCTGAATGACAACATTTTCGACGGGTACTGAGAGAAAATGGCTGCCCGCGCAATTTTGTCAACCAATGCATACGCAAACGAGAGAAAAAGACACATCCAACTGCCCCAAAAGTTTGGCGAGCTCTTCCGTACGTGAAGAATATATCGGAATCGGTCAGCCGCCTACTCACCCCACTTGGATTTGGAGTTGCGCACAGGCCAGA